TTCTTTATAACAATATTCCTATATAATAATGGAAGAAATTAAAAAATAATCAGATTTACAAGTGGTCATTCAAAAATAGCAACAGTTTCAAAAGTAATCGAAATTTAGTCACTTTTCATATAAAAATAAATTTGAACGAAAATACTGTTCAAAATTTTAAAAAATACTCCAGTATAATATACGGAACTCCAGTATAATAATATACCGGTCCGGCATAATATACTGGAGATTGGAGCACAATATGCTGGAAGTTCATACACAGGTGCACCGATCTCCAGTATATTATGCTGGAACTTTCCGTGTTGCAGCACAATAGTGGCTAATTTTCAATGACTTTGCAAATGCTGGCTATTTTGAATGACCAGTCCGAAAACTGGCTAGCATGTGCTATATTAACTATACAACACTTCACTATAAAAGTCAAACTTTTCCGGAACCAATTTTTATGCTATGTTATAATATATGTGTGTGTGTGTGTGTGTTTCTATAACAACACTTCACTATAACATCCAAAAATATTCGGAACAAATGAGGCTGTTATAGAGAGGTTTAACCGAACTTCTTTTTCACCCAAACAAAAAAGATGTATTTATATATACATATACTATATTATAATTGACTACATGTAATTAGTTTAAAATATTAAATGGAGGTTTAGGTAGGGGACATGAAAGTACTGAAACACGCTTGGAATGTATGCCTATATATTGCTAGATATGTGTTTTAATATATAGTTTAATATTTTAATTTTTCCTCCATTATGGAGCTATAACAAACTAGGGTTGACCATAGTTTTTTTGTGACATTAATTCTGTCTTAATTCTTTTTTGCTAGCTTAAAATGCACTTTTGCTTCTTACAAAATACATATATTGTCACCGCTCTTAATAATTTAAAAATAACAATAAATTAAAGAAAAGTATGACTAGTCATCACTACTATTTGTCTAAAAAAATTTGTAGTGGACAACTCAAAAGTAAGTTAAAAAAGAAAAAAAATATCTATGCCAACACTTACTTCTTAATCAAAAGGACAATTCATAGTACATTTGAGGTACCCAAAAGGCAACTCATAAATTTAAGAACTTAGATTCAAATGATTAATAAAAGAGTAGACCAACTTAATCATGATTAGGGAATTATTAGGCTGGATATATACAAATTAATATTTTAAAAATAAAGAATCAAGGAATTCCAAGTCAGCAATGGCTAAGCATCCATGTGGTAACTCAACTAGCAAACATCCATACATATCATCATAGAAATGAAACTGAGAATGTATGGATCTTTTTTTAAATCATTATTCATATTTTGTCCTCATTATAATTTATTTTGAGATAATAACTGCGTCAAATTTCAAAACACGCTCGTTAGAATTTTAAAGCACCAAAAATTATGAAGAACATTAAAATTTTCAATACCAGAGTTTTAAAGCATCAAAAATTCTGACGATCATCAATCTTCAGCTAGAATGGTAAAATTTGTTGGTAATCCGATAGAATTTGCGGCAACATCCTGATGATCAGCATAATTGTTGAAATTCTGCCAAGTGTACTTTAAAATTTTGGCGATCAGGAAAAATCTTGTTTGGTGTGTTTAAATATAACACACATGAGATTTTTTTTCTCAAAACTTCCGTTGATGGGGTTAAAATAAAAATCAATAGTAACACAAAAATATCGTGTTTTGTCCTTTTCCTTATATTATTAGGAACATAAGCAAATTTAAATTTTAAATTTGATTGATTCAACTTTTAAAATTTTTAGAACTACACATATTGGACTTTTAAAAATATTTGTTAAAATCTTGATAATTCTTCACACACATATTATGTGCCAAAAATACTAAATTCAGTTGAACTAGTTGTTTACACGCTATATCTTCACAAATGAATGGTATGTATTATTGTATTTTGCTTTCCTGATTTAAAATCTTTGGTCAAGATTGGGTGGAAGGTCAGGCTGTGATTCTTAAAGCTTTTCCAGTTATAATAGAGACAACATCTAAGTACATCATTAGGAAATAAACTAGAGGGTTTAGCATTAATTGGTTTAATTAAGACTTAATAACCAGAATCTAATATGCTCCACCACTCGTGTGCACGACTATACTTTGCCTGGACTAAGCTACAAATTTTGAATTAATTCTTTTTGTTCTTGAATAGGGTTTGCACGTGCCATATTTTATGCTGAAAAAAACAGATTTTTTTAAATAAAAGGTATCTTGTCTTTGTTTGTTTAACTGAAAAAAGGATTAATTAATAAATTAAAAGGTTGAATAAAATTCCACAGTAAAAGACATAGGTCACAGTTCCCCATATAAAAAGCCAATAATTAAAAGAAGATATAACAGCGCTTTATTTGCTTTAAACCCACTTTCTTTTTCTGGGAAATATTAAAGAAATCCAATTTAAATTACATTTCTTGAATATTGACTCCGTTTTTTACGCTATGAATCGACAAATACTGAATGTAGATAGAACTGGTGAAATGGTAATCTTATAGTAATGTTTTTGGTTCATAAATAAACAGCAAATATGTGGACGTAGTAAGAACCAATATTCCATATTAGGTGCATTGAACTTATTTCCAAATTTATTTCCTTCCAAACCCCATATTTTTTTATAATAGTGGTATCCGAAATTTTGCGAGTACCTGCCATCTCGAACCAGAACAAACACCTAAATATGCCTATCGGGGCTTAGGCAAATAAAACGATGACTCTAGGGGCGGAGCTAGCATGTAGGTTAGGGGTTCGACTGAGTATATTAACTTTGGTCTAAACTGGTATTTGTCTTAAGAAATTTATTGGATATACAAATTATTAATTAAGGGTTCAACAAATTTAAATAGATAAAAATTTCGAACCTACAACTTTAAATTCTGATACCACCTCCGCATATTATGACATCTTTACGAGTGTGTTGTATTTATGAATTTCACTATAATTTTAACTAGTGCTAGGATTTATTGCATTTGATTTGACAAGTGCTTGAATTTTGGGTTGATTGTGATTTAATTTGTAGTACTGCAAATATACTAATGATCAACGACAATTTCTAGGAAGATATTCTAAATCTTCTTTAATTAATAATTTTTTGAACATATTAAAAAGGAAGAAAAGGACAACTCGTAATTCGAAAGAAGAATAATAGTTGTGGGAAAATCATGCTGTTATACTATTTTGCTTTGGAATTAAACTCACTGCTTTGTATATATATTGCTCATAAATGAGTATGGTAGAGCATACCTAATTCTTTTAGTTTTCATAAGTCTAGTTTTTTTTTTTTTTTTTTTTTTTTTTTTTTTTTTTTTTTTTACATTAAATGTCAAACTACTTTAGCAGAAAACTTCAAATGCATTCTGCAAATGTTTGATTGTCTGTTTTTTCCCCTTAAATTACAATTCATGTTACACATTAAATTAACACATTATACTTTCCCCACACATTAAATGCTATGTTCTATAACATATCTACAAAGGCATTGGATTTTGTCCAAAAATTTACTCTTCAAAGTATATATATGTGGTCTATTTCATTACTCCTTCCATCTCAAATTGTTCTTTTACAATTTATGTGGTTTATATATATTTTTCTTTTACACGTTTCTTAAAAAAATATTAAATAAGAAAGATTTTTGATTATTTTTTCCTTATTTATGTCTTAATATATAATCTCTCTTCATTTAATACTTACTCATAATTAAGGTATTTGTAGTCTTCAAAAACAATTAATATTAACGATAGAAAAGGAAAAAATAATAATTTGCTCTTGAACTTCTAAATGACAAATAATTTGAGACAACTATTTTTAAAAACTACGACAAATAATTTGACACGGAGGCAATAATTTGATCGATGAACTAAATCCTATTAATGGAAATGAAGTGGAGTATATAGAACGCACGAGAAAATTACATTTCTATTACGATTGCATACTAGCTTATTTCTAGGCCAATTTAACTATATATTACATTTCTATTAAGTTTAGCTTGTGCTAAACATAGAAATTGCAGTAATTATATATTGATAATTGACAAGACTTGGATATATATATGGGGAATGGGATAACGTTTAATCTAACATATATTTTGAGAAATAACGGTCCATAAACGTAGTTCATGATGTCACAAATTATGACGTAGCCTCGACCATTTGGTTCAAGCTTAGAGTTGCATCTCTCCTAAGTGCAATAGAAGCTTATGAAATAACCTTTCTTGGTCATCCATGGATCCTTTGCAAGGTACAGGAAATTACACTCAATGATCTTGAAAATAAATGGTCTTGATTTTTTGACCCCTCGTTTGTCCCATGAGCAAACCTTTTGAATTACCTTTAAGTTCAAAAGTCAAACGTGTTACCCATGAAGTAAGTGGCAGGCAAAAATTATTAAACTTGAAGTTATGCCCATGAACGGGTCAAAAAATCAAGAATAGCACCTAAAGTATCCTATTTGTGCAAATCATCCTTACAAGCAAGTCTCGAGGGTATATTTAGGCTAAGTTTCTTTTTCTCCTAATCACATTATTTTCCATATAACCAAGGTATGTAAGAGATGAAAGAAGAAAAAGCAATGAACTGGCCCATAACAGATGCTTGGGCTTTGTCACTTAGGCCCTTCTGATTTTTGGAATTTGGGCTAAATGATTTTACACAAGTAGCCAGTCATATTCATTGTTTGTTTTTTCTAGTCATATACATATATTATACATGATTATACATATATTAAACATAAATTATACACATATTATATCTCTGCCGGTTATTTTTAGTTTAGACGATTGAATGAGCGGCTAATCGGGTTAATTCTTCTTAGTTTTTAATCTAAGCAGTGCTACCAGCCTCTCAAATAATACCATATTGGATTAGTTGGGAGGGAAAAATCAAAAAAGAAAAAAACTAACAGTATGCTGGATCCCAGGGATGAGCAGAAAACTAAGTTATTTACTTCCCTAGTTTAAACTAAAGGATCAAACTTGCTTAATTTAAATCCATCCATAGAGTTACAAAACCATTATATCATAACAAAAACCAAAAAACTAAATTGAAGTGTTTCAAGAAGCAACAACATAACCTTTCCCCTTGAGCTAATTATGCATAAGAAACACTTCATTTTCTTAACATACCACTAATTAAAAGATAAAAATTGAGATTTTTTATTCAACATCTTCTACAATGAGCCCTAACAGAGTATAAAAGCGTGAACTAGCTAATGAGGTAACTAATGAAAATAATATAACAAGTAGGACTAAACTATAAATGTTAAAACTTCATCCTGACTTGGCACATTCTTAACACTTTAATATCAATGTACCACTTTGGAGCTCAAGGTACCACCATTTCGTTACATCTAAGAGCCAGAAAATTAGATGGAAGGAAGCAGTAACAATAAGCAGTAACCGCGCTGGTGGGAAGCACATCAACTGCCAAAAACACTAACTAATTTCTTCCCATCTACCTAAGTCTTGATGGGAATAGTTATTAGTTACCAAGTACCTATCCCGGTGGGAATTAATAGGTACCCGGTGTAATAGTCGAGGTATGCGCATGTTGACTCGGACACCATCGGAAAAAGGAAGAAGAAATTCAACTGATGCAAGAGTTTCATTTGGAAGGAGGATAATAGTAATGTTACACGTTCAAGAAGCAAAAGATTAAAGTTGCTGGTTCTCACATAAGTTCAATCTGAAAATATAGAAGATGTTTCATGTATAGTTGTATACGATAAAAGAATCCAAACAAAAAGCAAGGTATTAGGTGAATGTATTTTAATCTCCTATGTTTGACTCATTTATGTTAGTTTAGAACAAGAACTAAATATTCGACGTAAAAGTCCTCATGATCCACCATCGAAATCCATTCGACAATATTCTCAGCAATATATACAGGGATGGTAATGGACCTCAGAACTCTTGGGATGTAAATAAGAAGCAAAAACAAAAGATTAAATCAGCATGGGAACAACAGGAAATGAACTTCACCGTGGAGATTGTAAGTGCTGGGCTCCACTGTTCCTTCAAAACGTCAAGGCAAAGGCTACCATTGCTGTTGATGTTTGGGTGGAAAACCTTTGTCCTAAAAGCTATCTGCACATTTATCTCCTATTGTCATATAAATTTGTCCGAGGAAAAGAGTGTCTATTTTTTTTTCAAAAAACAAGAAAATGCAAAGACATTACAGAAAACATTCTTCAGGGGACACCCACCTACCATTATAAAAATTTTCACATTGAACGCCCCACCAGTGGCGGAGCCGGGATTTTTATTAAGCAGGATCAAAATATAAAGAAATAAACTCACCAAGAAGTCAACGAGTGTCATTATATAGTATATATACATAATTTGTCCCCTTGGGTGCATGTGGCTCCGCCACTGCGCCCGACTAGTTTGGAGTTTAGGTGTAGCTGTCGATTGATTGGTACATTTGTTGAACTTTTTCTATACTAATGTACTTATCCAGCAGAATCTAACATATAAATTGGACTTCTTCTAGATAAATGTACTAAGCCAGTCAACTATTCATATCAATTGCAAGCAGTTCTCTCCCTAGAAAATGAGCTTAAATATCTGTATACTCATTAGAAGACTAGCATGAAGAAATACACTTGTTAACTCTATGATACTGCAAATTTACAAGCCAAGAAAACTAAAACTATTTCTTCTTTGATTCTGTGAAAAAAATCCTTTGCACAATTTGAACAATTAGGAGTCTTGGCGTAACTGGTAAAGTTATTGCCATGTGACCAGGAGGTCACGGGCCTCTTGCAAATATGTAAGGTAAGACTGCGTACGATAGACCCTTGTGGTCCGGCCCTTCACAGGACCCCGCACATAGCGAGAGCTTAGTGCGCTTGACTACCCTATCAGGCAAGTCATAAAGAAGTTCGTGTGCATTTCATGCTATAGGAAGAATACCTTGGGTGGCTTAAATGGATAATCAGGCAGAAAATGAATGGTAACAAGAAACATTCCACCGGCATAGGGACTATCAGGCGGACCAATAATTGTTGCTTCCCAGTGAAACAAATCGTCCGCAGCAACTGGACCTAAATAGAAACAACAGGAAGCAAAAGCATAACAATCAGAGAACTCTTCAACGCAACCTTAAGACACAATTTTACTTGTCATTTGGGCATTTAGGCTTAGTGCAAGCATATCTACAGCAGCTTGCCTAAAAATTGCGCAAACACAAAAGCACAGAGAACCATATTACCTTTTTTCCAGAACGTAAACAAGTCTCAAGCAGGGGCGGAGCTAATGTGTGTTACGGGTTCGAACGAACCAACTAATTTTGATCCCAACCAAGTAGTTGTCTTAATAAATTCATTAAAAATATGTACATTGCTTAAAAGGACTAGAATCTTGAACTGAAAAACTTCAAATTCTGACTCCACGACTCTACCTATCTGAGCATGGACATGGTNTGAAGAATCACTACTAATTCAAAAGAAGAAGAAACATAAGTTCAAACTAAGAAAATAAGTTTTTTTAATAACCTAGAATTGCAACGGCGAGTGTTGCATGGTTCAAAACTCCAAACTCCGCAATAATAAGTCCATCCCTCCACCCTTCTCCACTTAAATACCAACCTTTCATCTACGGCAGGATTCGCACTCGATGTTCACATCAGATCAATAAATACAAAACATGCGTATTTGATACACATATTTATCACTTAACCATTTTACTTCAATTTTTAACTACCAAAGTTAAATTAATTGGTTTGGTGTAAACACCGGTTACAAATAAGCATTTACATATTTGAACCTGTTACAAGCATTTAACTCACATTATCACATATTACGCTCTTTCCATTAAACCAAAGCTCTCGGGACAAAGTAAAAGGAAAAGAAGGTTAGAAACAAACCAAGAGTGCAAAAGACACAAGATCCTCGAGCTCTTTTAGAATCCTCTTGGACGCCATCCTCGACCAACTCCCTCTACAAAAAATAAGTAAAATAACCCAAATCAGCTCTATATATAGATAAATAAATCAAGTCATACCTTTTTAAAATAATCTCGGTTGTTTGATTGTTATAGCGAAGTATTGTTATATAAAATATATATTACAACATAGCACGAATAATTAGTTCTAAAGAAAATATGACTATTATAGTGAGAGGTTTGACTGTAAATAAAGAAATAGGAATTTTTCAATTGTATTCAAACGAGCAATGAATAATTAGTTCACGCAATAAATACAACCAATACGAAATACAAAAATATAGAAAAATAAAATATTGTTTTTGAAAGTCGAACTCAAGATCTTCACTTACTAAGCGTGTGCTCTAACCAACTAAGCTACAAGAGCTTGTTGCTTTTTTGTTACAGTTCAAAATAATTAATTTCTTGTTTTAGTACTACAAATAGATTTGCTATAAAATTCAAATATAGCTAGAAATGATAATTTTGTGAAAGTATAGCTACAAATAGTAAATACAATATAGTACTATATGTTTGCTGTATGGCATAATTTTTCCAATAGAAGAAACATACATGCAGAGAAGAAAAAAAATCATAACTAGAGAAAGAGAATAATCGAAATATGGGTTATTGAATGGTGTATTTGGTGTTGTTCTTGTTGGGGTGATAGCGTGAGGGTGGTGATGAGTTTGTGATGGTGGCAGAAGAGTTATGATATGCTATGTCTTGATTGGAGATGAAGAAAGTAGGCCCCACGTGAAAAAAATAAAATAAAAATATAATTTTAAGAGCTTTCACGAGCCCAAAGTTGTGTGAAAACCAAATATTTTGCCATGTCAGCTCGGGGTGTCCACGAGACACATATGTGCCAAGTTGAATATCTATTTGATCATTGAGTAAGTTGGAGTGTGACATAGATATATTAGGTCAATTTTAAGTGTTTCTTCATGTATTTTGCCTTTTAAGAACTAATTTGTCTCGAAAGACAAATCATCAAGCATTTGAATGAAAAGGATGCGGATGAAGTGGAATAAATGTTATGGGTATTTAAGTTATATGCACCGAGAATATAATCTTTTTAAACTAATATAATTCAACCGATTATAACAAATTACACTCTTATACGATCAAACTAATTTGACAGAGCTCGAGTTATTGTTATTTTTATTGCTGAGAATACTCCAATTAATATTGGGCAAATTACACCTATTTAAGCCCTAATTGAATGGATTTACGAAGAAATTTTACTTAAGCCCTAACTATATGGGTTGGGCTGCGAAGAAACTGGACCTTGCCAAACAATCTTTTTGGGATTTTTATTCAAATAGTCGGTCATATTTATTGTTTAGTTTTTTTAGGATGGGATCCCCTCCAGTATGCTCGATGGTTTTTTAGATGCATGCCATGTGTGCAGATGGAGTTTGAAAGGCTTAGATTTAGTTTGTACTTATGCTTCCTTATTTCTATTTATTAAACAAGTATAGTACTTTTAAAAGTAAAAAATAAAAAATGGCAGGGTTTCCTTCCCCAACCCCAACCCACGAACTTTGCTCTCTACTTCTTCATCCTTAGGATTTCCTTCACAAGTGGTAATTGAAAAATAGCAACAGTTTCAAAAATAATCAAAATTTTGCCATTTTTTATGTAAAAGATAAATTTGAACAAAAACAATGTTCAAAGCCCGAAAATATTCCAGCATAATATGCTGGAGTTCGAATTTTTTACATGTGAACTTCCAGCATAACATGCTAGAATTCCATAATGTGCTGGAGTTCCAACATAATAGCTGGAATCCATACAAAGGTGCTCCAATCTCAGTATGTAATGCTGGAACTTTCCGTGTGCTGGAGTTCCAATATAATATGCTGGAAATTCATACACAGGTGCACCACTCTCCAGTATATTATGCTGGAACTTTCCGTGTTGCAGTAAAATAATGACTATTTTTTAATGACTTTGCAAACATTGGCTATTTTTCAATTACCAATCCGAAAACTTTGCAAACATTGGCTATTAGATGGAGTAATATAGATTATATCGAAATGAAGGTCCCCTCTCCTATCGTGGACACTAACTTAAAGTAAAAATAGCACTGCCTAGCCAGTTTTCGGACTGGTCATTCAAAAATAGCCAGCGTTTGCAAATTCATTGAAAATAGCCATTATTTTGCTGCAACACGAAAAGTTCCAACATAATATACAGGAGATCGGTGCACCTGTGTATGAACTTCCAGCATATTATGCTGGAACTCCAACACGCGGAAAGTTCCAGTATAATATACTAGAGATTGAAGCACCGGTGCTCCACTCTACTGGAGTTCCAGTATACTTATCTTTACATGAAAAATAGATAAATTTCAATTACTTTTGAAACTGTGGCTATTTTTGAATGAGCACTTATAAATCTGGCTATTTTTGAATTTCTCCCTAACTTAAAGAGCCTGATATAAAAGGCCCAAGGTTCATATAAAAAATTTCTTAGCAAAAAACTATCAAACTACCACTATTTTCTCATGCAAAATGAACCTTCAGATAATTGTCATAAGTTCATCTATTACGTTAGATCACAACTCTGCATCATCAAAGGTCGAATTAAGTGTCGTTTATTTTTGGACGCATATAAACGTCTAGTAAATTCTTTACACACATATATAATTCGAGTCGAGAACGATGAATATAGCTGCACATTGCATACGCTCAAGATTCCATTGTGTGCACCATCCATGGAATCCACTTAAAGCGTACTATCACATGAAATTTATTTTAACGGTAGAGGTGTAATTCCTTTACAGCTTGTTTGGATAGTTGTTATGTATCGTTTCATTTATTGTATTGTATTGTACTGTATCATTTTGATGTATGCAATATTTGGATAGATTGTATTATTTATTGTTGTTTCATGATGTCATGCACCAACAATATGAAGAATAAACTTGCAATATTATAAAGAAAAAGTAAGGTACGAAGTAATATTATTATATAAAAAGGTCGGATAAAGGATAAAATAGGATTATTTAGGCTTAGTGCAAGCATATTTACAGCAGGTTGCCTAAAAAATGCGCGCAAACACAAAAGCACAGAGAACCAGAGAACCTTTTTCCAGAACGTAAACAAGTCTCAAGCAGGGGCGGAGCTAATGTGTGTTACGGGTTCGAAGGAACCAAGTAATTTTGATTCCAACGAAGTAGTTGTCTTAATAAATTCATTAAAGATATATACATTACTTAAAAAGGACTAGAATCCTGAACAGAAAAACCTTAAATTCTGACTCCATCTATCTGAGAAGGGACATGGTAAGCTGGGGAAGAGGCACACACGTCTACCCTAACACTTCCTCTAAAGTTCACT